TCCGACTCGTAGCCGACTTTCTTCAACTCCTCGACCAAGAAATCCATCGTTTGAGGCGGGCGCGGTGTATCGCGCTCAGTTACCGAGGTGTGGGATGTGCTTCCCGTGTAGCCGCGAACGTACTGTCCAGAGATGCACCTGTGCAGAAAAAGAACAAGGGCTTTGCCCGCGGGCGCCCTCGCTACCAGCTAGGCTGGGAGTTTTGCGTGTCGGGGACACAGGCTTACAAAGCGGAGAATGTTTAAAGTTGTTCTTAGAGAACGTGAAGATGTCTCAGGCACCTTCTCTATATACGAGCCTTGTATGAGGCGACCGTTAAATGTGAATTGAGGATATCCACAATTGTAATAAGGGAGATTGTAACGGGGTTACACGTACCCTTGTATGAAAGGGCGCGTCGCACAAGATGATGTGACCGTACATAGGTGTGTATTACACAAAATAGTGTAATCACACAGTGGTGTGGCTACACCGTAACAAGAAGCCACCTTGTGGTATGATCGCGAGTAGTAATGCATATTACTATACTAATCAGGTTTTGCTATATTATTTTTGGTATTACTCTTGTAATAAGGAAAAGCTAGTGTTTTAGATATTAACGGCTCCCCCCAAACTAAATAACAAGATACAGTTTTAATTTTGGGCACAAGAGTGTATTTGCCTTGGTCAAGGTTTGGGACACTCTAGGAGGTAGCGGAATGCGATCCGCTACACTCGTACTGGTTCTTGGCATGAATGTAGGATCGGTGAACTTAGCTTAGCTTTCTCTAATCAAAGAGCCACGGCCGCCCCGCTGCATTCTATCCCAATCTCAATGCTAACCTTAAAATGGGAATAACTACACCTTGTTGTAACCATCTACTAATTAGTTCAGTACACACTAAGTTAATAAGTAAATAATTGTATACCACACAAACTGTATAATGGGCCTACCACCCCATTACACGGCACTATTTAAGTTAGATACGGAGACACACTAGGCTCCACTACCCTGGGTGTTGATCACACTTTTGTATGCCCACAGAGTAAAAGAATCCTAATGAAATAGACTTCCTCGCAAATATGTAACTCGTTTAGCAAAACCAAGTATGGAGGAAAGCAATACAAAGTATGCGCGGTACGATAGGGCACACAGTTCCTTTTCAACCTGTATAGATTTTAGGTATATTTGAAGCTATGTTATTACATAAACTCGTATTGGGCTCGTAAGGAACTATCTCGAAATGATCTGGTACCATACTTCTTTCGCTAATATTGCTTCTTCGGGAAAACATGTATATCACAGCTGGACTTGGTCCTTACAAACATATTTTTCTTTTGGATCTTGGTCGAATATGATAGTAAACTTGGCCCTCACTAACATATACTTTATAAATTTCTGACAGGTTTGTAATCCACATAATAAACCTGTAACGTGTAAAAACTTGGCAAAATCATTTTTGTTTGGGATATAATTGATAACAGGTATAAATTGGATCAGGTTTTGTAAAACACATCAAAGCATTTGTATACGGTATATCAACTTTAGAAAATAGCATATATAGCATAAAAAAGTATTTGTATTCAATAATTCAGATTTTTTGGCAGGTATCTAATATGCCAAGAGAATAAATTTTGACAAGGGATGGTATTCATTTCGTGAACATGCTAAAGGGTGAACAGGTTATGTTTCATAGATAAAGATTTATTGTATACGCTTTAGAACTAAGTTGTTTGGTATGACAATTCTTTTGCAACTTTGCTTCTTCAGTAGACCGTGCACATGACGGCATAATGAGATGCGGCTTAGTCTTGCGACAGCTCAAACAAACATTGGTAAAAATCAAAGAGCTTTCCATTCTCGCTCACTGAACAGATTCTCGAGGTCCTGTGCCGTCGTCATATACTCGAGTATACACACTATCGCGACCATTGCGAACTTGTCGTACCGCTCACAATAATTGGACACTTCGCCCTCAGCAAACGCAATTTCCGATCTTACACAAGCCACGCGACTGTGCCGTCCTGTCGAGTGTACTGGTGAAACAAAAAGAAGCCTTGGTCTTTACGAACATTTTTTGTCCCATGGAACTTGGTCGATGTCATAATCGACTTCGGTATTTTATTCCACATGATGTAACTTATTTGAGGTATATATGTTCTGAAATGTGTCAGATATAACACGGTTATGGTTTTGACAGGTATCGAATTCGTTAAAGTTATGTGCTACATCATATAAGTTGTCACGGGTATAGCAGATTTGACAAGTATCAGATATATTCTCTGAAATATATCAGATATGTCAGATAATATGGCAAGTATTAGATATGATGGGAAAATAAACTTTGACAGGGCCGTTAGCTTAAATAAGGCCGCAGTCAACGAAGCAGTTGTCGATGGTTGCGAAGGACAAAGTGTAGTCTTAAGAGTTGGAGGCTTGATGTAGCATATTTTCACCTGTGTGCTTAGGGCCTTTTCCAGCCATTGGTCTTTCATAATGAACGAAGTCTGCTTCTTTTAGTCTATTGGGATTGTTTCGGATCTCAAAGACGATAGGCGCTGTTGACGGCTGTTTTTGGACCGATGTAGTATTCTTGAGCGCCTCTCGAAACAGCAGTTATAATGTTGTCGGCGTATAACCTCGGTCAAGTAGGCGTGCATACAGTTGTTTCACAATTCGTTTAAAGTCTCGAAATCGTGTATTCTGCTTGCGGTATTTCCGAACTTGGCCAATGATTAACCCCTTGAGTACACCTGGTGGATGAGCGCTATTGGCAGGAATATACAGGTACAGACTCAGAGTTTTCTGATATGTGCGCGTGTATAACTGTTATCCATTTCGAACGATTCATAAATCGAGAAAGCCGGCTTCATCTGTATCGATAGAGCTGTCAAATCGTAGTGTAGACTGTTGAGTGAACATTGTCGGAACGTGCCGAAATCTGTATGTCACATCGGTGGGGTTTCACACAGTATATACGTCATCGATGTAGTATTTGCAATAGACTACATATCCTGAATAAATTTTAAGTAACGTATTTTCAATGTGAGCAATATAAAGGTATGCCGGTGCCACAGGCGTTCCCATAGCTGTTCCACGGAGTTGGCGCCAGCACGCGTCTCCAAAGGTAAAGTAATTATTTTTCATTAATAATTGGAGTCCTGACAGAATTGCGGTTTCCCATGGATGACCATGAATACGTCCCGCGATTGTCTAGCCTTGATGGCATTGTTGATCGGGATATTGTTTTAGAGAGTTTCTACGTCAATAGCGATTAATAGCACACTGGGCGGAATGATTAAGTTAAGGGATTCCGTCAGAAGCTTGTCTGAGTCACGAATATATGACTCGGAGGATCTGTAGAAAGGTTGGAGCTGAAAGTCTAACCATTTTGAGAGTCCTTCGAGAATGCTTGCGCTGTTGGATACAATAGGCCGAATACAGAGTGTAGGTTTGTGAATCCTCACCAAGGTGTAAGAACATTTAATCGTGACTTGTCTAAATTCGCCGTTATGATCCGAGTTGTGTCCCAGTCAGTACATTAGGCATTGGTCTTTGCTATATGTTTGTACCAAATGCGAACTTTCGTTCGTATATGTCGGGTCATTGTGTCAACTGGAGCGCGTTGCAGCTCATGTAGTGTCGCATCTGAGAGATGGTCAACACATAGTCTTACATAATGTTCTGTTGTAAAAAGAGCTGGTCCTAAGTACTTGTCGGTGATAACCACCCTAAGATCCGGGTGACTTTCTAAGCGTTATAACGTGTTGCGCTGAGTCGAGTTTAGGTTCCTGAGTTTTCTCGGTTGCTATGTCTCTCGAAGAACACTATGTTTAACACGTTGCAGAATTGCCTCGATTGATGCCAGCGGTAGCGTCCAATTTTCCGCTTGCGTTTCGGTGAGCCTGAGAAGTTTTCTCTGTAGGGACTTTCCTTGTCTCTTCTGCTGCTGGGGCTTTGCAGTCTTGGTGCACCGATCAGTGCCCCTCTGACGACCGGCGCTGTCGCTTAACGCTTCCTTTTTTTACATCTGAAATTTCAAGGGTCTTAACTCGTGTTGTATGCGTTTGTGAGCAAGCTCCTGAATTGAGGTGGTCATGGGTGGTTTTATTCGAAACCCATGGCCGTGGTTCGTTTGCTTCTTTGGCAGCTTTCGCTCGATTTGTGTGACTTGTTCAATCGCCATATCGTAGCGTAGTTGAGTCAATCCGGCAGAGAGCTGGGCTTTCAGCATTAGAAGTCATTTAATGCCATCGACTGTTGTCCGTCAGGGGAGGAGCAAGTAGTTTCCCAGGATGGGCCAGATGACTGAAATGTGGAGTGGACATTCTTACAGAAAGAGTTTATCTCTCTAAGTGAATCTTCTGATAGGGTCTCAAATTCACACTGGAGTAGCTTCAGCTCAGCATAGGTGGCAGCAGTGATGATTGCTGTTAGTGCTTATTTGTTGTCAGCAAGTTGCTGTTTGAATTGAGCGTGCAAAGATACAGCGCTATCGGTATTCTCGAGCTCTTTAGACACGGTCAAAGAAACCTTTGTCTTCACGTAGCGAGGTGGGTTCGCTTCAAGACGTCGGAGTGCTGACTGCTTCGATTAGAGTCGAGCAGCTAGATTTCTGTATCGTTTGATCGTGGAGTCGATGATGTCATGCACTTTAATATATATATTGATTTATAAATTTATAATAAATTTTATCAAAATACCATTTTCTTTCTAGGTGGTGGTAGCGGCGGCCTGCGGCGAACAACATTATTCGGGTGTATCCTTAAGTGTGATAACATAGGTTAAAGTAGGCTGAGTTGATACTCGAGTGATGTAACAGATGACTCAGTTATGTACTACACCGAACAGACTGTTCGGTGTCACTGTCGGCTGGTCGGCTCGGTCGGACGTTGGTCGTGGGAGGGTCTGTTGATCTTGAAGTCCTTCTTTACGTCCAGAGATCCGCCCTGAGGTCCGCCTTGAAGTCCGCCTTGAGGTCCGGCTTGAGGCCGGTCTTGAGGTCGGTCTTGCGGTCGGACTGCAAATCGGTTACTTGGTCGTCCGGTCGACTTGGTCGGGTTCGTCGGTTTTTGATAGTTCCGACATGTTCCGTTTTATGTCGAATTAGGGAGAAATAACTCGAGCGGGCGTTTCCTGAATCAAACGCAAGGCTAGAGGAGTACTCCTTACACTGTCTACCAAGCTCCGAAACACTGTTCTGGTTCTACGTAAGCCACGGATCTATTTAAGTTGGATATGGAGACCGACTAGGCTTCAAAATCCAGGTTGCTGCTTACTCACTCACTCACACTCCTGTGTAACCGCACCTCGATATTATAGTCGACGTTGGCCCTACGAGCATGTTTTTATTTTGTTTTAACAGGTTTTGTATATTACATGATATAATTTGTGACAGGTATTTATGATCTAAAATGTATCAGATATGTCAGGGTTGAAACCTTTGACAGTATTGAGGGTTATGGGTTTCAGGTAATGTACATTACCCAACCCGGCTCAATCCGAGCTGCGGTTTACCATAGTTTTCACATTTTTTGGTTAGAGGTAATTACGGTATGTGAACCCAAATAAATCACTTCCAAAATATTCTTTCTGCAGCGAGGCTGGCGTAGGTCACCGACTTCTCGTTCTATACTCGGAACAAGTTCGAGTTTGGCAGATTGGAATCCGCTTACTTCAAGAGTAATTATAGCCTTAAGCCAAGGCTAATTAAGTCTTCGGTTTGATTGACAACTGACTTTATTTATTTTTATCTGCGGCAAAGCCGCCTAATTTTAAATGCATAGATT